GACTTATTGTTAGACTCACATGCACAGCTTCATCACATGTTCCGAAAGGGCATGTAGTATGTTCTGCTCCATTTATAAAGTACGTACTTAGCTAAAACAGATTTATCCCGGTTTTAGCCCTAAAAGGTATGCGGAGAAATCAATTAAGCAAATACAATGTGACCTTTCAAACTGATGTGCTCGATTCTCAAATAATGAATTGAGCTCATAGCATTTCTAATTGACACAGCTGAAGTTTTCTTTGTTCTTTCACAGCAAGAAAATCCAGTTTTATCGACCGGAAATGCTGTCAGCTCATTTTATTGTTCAAGACTCACGCGCTACAAACTGTGGCAATGTTTCCAGAATAAACTGTTGAGATTCCATATACCATGGATTTTCAAAAAGTTCATGACATTACTTTCAGAACTATAAATATTATGACTAAAATTATTGGGTAAAAGAAAACATCTAACTATCGCCACATGGACTGATGCTTTACAGCAGAAGATTAAACTAGTTGGCTACATACAGCTAGAATGCAGTAGTTCTTCGGGCAGCTATCAATAGTTGATGCTAACAATATCTGCGCTGAAACAACTGTGAGAACTTTTAGCGTTAATTTTCTGTTTGAATAGTTCATATGCGCTAATCTCAATATTTTGCCTCTATTGTGATAACATTCAATTCACAAAGTTTGGCCAATTTTAGATTTATGTTTTGTCTCTCGTTTGTTCGACACTTTCTCTGAGATGCTTGCTAATTTCGTCGTCTATCTATATGCAACATATCAATCGTTAGACTGCTGTTGCTTTGCGTTGGTGGTGGACAAAAGTAATCTGTTTTTTTTTTCCCCAAAAGTAACATTGTCAGCCACAATTTAAAGCTTCATCAAAAAAATTCTATAAAATAACAGTATGAAGCACTTCACATGTGTAATCAGTACAAAATTCAATACATTATATACTTGTAAAATAAATACTTCTGTTATCTATTGGATTCTCTCATGAGCAGCGAAAAACATATACAGACACATTTTGAAAAGAAAGAAATAGAATCATATGACGAGCATCCCAATATCAGCAAATTTTGTCCTGACCGGTGGAATCGCGTGTTAGCCGAATTGGTAGAAATCCAACTTCACCTTTATTTTCTCCCAAATTCTCGGCAATCACCCTCAGCTGAAATTGATTTATCGATATGAGGAGGAGAAGTTTATCGTACCTTTTACTCGTATTAGTACGTACCTTTTTAGCTATCGAAAACAAGTTCTGTTTTTCCTAGAAATGATGTATTTTCGAAAAATATCCTTTAACAAATTTTCCCGCCCTTTCTAAACTATAAGAAAGAGCTCACCAAAAAAAACGCATTCATGATATTT